ATATATATATATATATATATATATATATATATATAATTCTTTAAATATTTAACATTTATCATATTCATTTTGATTGCAGTTTTTTTTCTTTTACATACAATAATAACGTTGCGACGTTCTTTGGTGCCATTTAAAATAATATCATTATGTAAAAATCTTTTATTATATATAACATTGCTGTATATAAAAATAATTTTCATATGTATAATTATTGCAGATTTACAATATTGTAAAATGTAATATTGTACTTGGCAAAGATACAATTGGTTTATATATCTAATAAAATGTATAGAAAATATAATACTTCTGTTTCAATCTCTCACTCTCTATGTGCGCACGCATACACATACATACACATAATAATTGTCTCAAATAATTTTTTCTTTCATTTTTATGAAAATAGTAATTTTCTCTTTATATCACTTGATCCACGTATATGTATATCTACATGCATCCATGTATTTCATAATAAATTCGATTTATAAACTATATACTATATACATCGTTTCTACTTCCTCTTTTTCTTATTGGTCAATAAAAAAACTAATCACGTAAAAAGTATAAAAAAATAACATTATTCTATATGAAATAAAATTAAGTATCACTCTCTTGCAAAAAAACATTTGGCCTAATAAACAAATAATCAATAATATTAAATCATTATTGTAACCTTATTTACGAATCTATTAAAAATATTATTTCGTTATGTAAATGTTTTTATATCTTTTTTACAGTAGAACCACTAAAAGACTTTTTCTTATTCCAAGTTAATAGTTTCGGAGGTGATAAAACTTGTTCCAAAAAGATATGTCTTCTCTCTTTCAAATTTAAATCGTTATTACATAAAGATTTATCGTTTTCGTAAATAAGATCGATATTTTCTCGATTTGAATGAGACTTATCGTTCGAGGTATTTTTCTCGTAACATACTTTAAACGATGCGATAGGGGCCAAATTCTCCTTGTCGTATTTTATATAATCGGACGACTTTTTTAAAATTACCGAAACATTTTTTTTCGACGCCTCGATTTCGGGAGAAGCGGTGGATTGTCCAATTTTAATAGCCTTATTAGGCGTGACAACGTAAACTAGTTGCGACTTGGATTCAAATTTCTCCTTCAATAAAGAAAATTTTCGTTTCGGATAATTGATCGGTTTTTTACGTTTATCGCAGATCGGTTCTAATTTTTCCGTATTATCGGAATTCGATTTCACTAATTGTGCAGGGACACACGACGTAGCGTCTAGCCGTTTCTTATCCGCAGAATTTGAATTAACATTCGTATTAACATTAGAGGATATTGTCTCGGATAAATTATTATGTACAATCTTAACATTTTCAACAGGTACCAACGGACTCATTTCGACGTACAGATCATTCTCCTTCGAGTCAGCCTCGTCTTTCCGAGAGGAAATAAATGCTTGTTTTTGTAGCTTCGTTTTATTCCCCAAAATTGGCGAGTCGGAAAGTATCGCGTCTATCAATGGTGTCTTCTTGATCGATTCTATCGTGCAATATTTAACTAAGTCTTTAATAGTGTCAATCTCATCTTTTTCTCGAATAATAGATTCTGATTCCTCCAAACAATTGATGTAATTATTCCTGTTACACGTGACAGGATCTTTGAGATCAGTTTTGAACAACGCCTTCGTAAGCTGGGCCTTTTTTATCAAATTTTTCGGATCAAAATCTTCCCATTGACTGCCCGTCGTGTGATACACGTGCCTAGGGGAATTTTCGGCCGTGTATTTCCTGATTTGATCTATAGTGCTGACCAATGTGCTAACCGAATCGCAATTGGATTGATTATACTCAAATTTCTCTTCCGTGGCCATTTCATCGTGCTCTTCCAATATAGTATCCAGCGCGAACATACCACCTTTGTCATCTATCACTACCGGCTTTGCGATGTATAGGATGGAATTTTGCTCGTCCACATCAGCGATTCTTTTCGTAGAAATATCCTCGCTGTATGCAGTTTTTAACTCTCTCGAATCTATCAAATCGTATGTAAGCGTGTCAAGATAATCATCCTGCTTTAGAATTCCTCTTAATATCGAGCTTGCGCAGGTGGTGTCGGAAAATTCTGAACTGTATGTGGTGCCGGTTGTTGTGCTCGTTAAAGTATCCCTTCTCCTGTCTCTGACAACGCTGTCATCGTGGATGTAAGTTTCTATATCCGTATATCCTTTCCAACTGCGAATACACCATGGTGGCCTAGCCACGCCAAGGGGGCAAACGTTCTCATAATCGTGAATCGAAGTAACGCAACTCATCGTTTCGTCCCTTTGTTGCAACTCTTTCGTTAGTTTTTCCGTTTCCTCCGTTTTCTCGCAATTCCCGTTAAATATCGGGGTCTCCATCCTGCCCCTTAACATTGTAATACTGTTCAAATCTTTGCAAATGTTGCTCAAGGAGCGATCCTCTAATCCGTCGTGTCTCGTACTTATATCCAGTATCAAATTTCTATTGGTTAGAACTTTGCCACTGTCTTGGTCGTCACTTTCCATTTCAAGAATAAGCTGGTTCGAGAAACAAATGCCACGTCTCTTTTGCAACGGGAGGCAAGAGTTTGTTGAATCTTTTGTCGAAACATCTTTGTCTATATCCAATCCGTGAATCGTGGGCAAACAAATACCTCTGCGTTTCTGACGATGAATATCTTTTTCGCTCGAATTGTTATGATCGTCATGAATCTCGAGATATTCGCAATTATTATCGGCTATGGTGAACGCATTACTCGGTAAAATGTGATTCGACGATGGATTTTCGTCTTTCGAAATGTTGTTGTGCGCCGACTCGCATTCCGAAACAACGCAAACAGCAGTTGATGGTGAATCGTTTTCGATCAGGCAAGTTTGATTGGCAACGCCGTTTTCCGTACATTCCGAATTTTGCACAATGTTCGTCAATAAATATTGCTTGTCCGTCGTGATTTCCTCGGAACTAGTCCTCTGAGAACGATCGATAGAACGTGTCGAAGACGTCGTGAACGAGTTAGGATAATACTGTTTAAAAGATCTAGGAGTAACAGCTTTGTTGGTTACAATCTCGGATTTTTTATCAGCGGTCTCAGATATATTTCCAACTTTGGACGGATGAAATTTTCCATAATAGAACAACATACTTGTCAAGCCAATCATCATTCCTCCAATTATAAAACTGGTCATTATTATTATTTTTTCAGTTTTAATAATATCTTTAAAATATAAAACGAACACAACTAAAAAGACTATGTTTTCTATTACAATGATGGAATAAAATATAAATACTCTATACCGAGATTTACCAATACGTAAATTAAAAAAATCAAAACAATAAATCAGTCCTATAATACAATTATAAATACGCTCTTCCCATATAGTTGGGCAAAAATTTGTGTTTTGAAGAAGCACCCAAATGGTCATAAAGAGCCAGTGGAATCCTGTAACATTCACAACAGAGCACACGCTGTACGAAAGACATAAATCTATTTTGAGCAATCTTGTTAACTCACTCTTATACTTACCAAGAAACAATAAAGACCATTGTCTTAAACAGACTGCTGTTAAAACCAAAACAGCTATTCTGGATATTAACATTCCGGCCCGCCAAAAACCTTGAAGAATTAATACTATCCATGTTGCTTCATTATTGTCAGGATTTATTTTTTGCATAGCTTTTGTATATGTACCTATAGCCCAGCTCAACGAACAAAAGGAGACTATGGCGGATAAACCTATTTAATTATTTATTTAAAAATATCAATTAAATGTCATTGATTTTGAACATTATTATTTGTACACATCCAGTAAAGTCTTTAGTTAGTGACAGTGACAGTGGCAGTGGAAGCCATAGTATTTTTAGCACTTCAAACACCCACCCTACTCTAAGAGAAGAGAACATTATTTTTAAAGTTTCAGTGCTGCAAGGTTCCAAATAGAATGCTTAGATAGCAGCCATAGTAATCGGATTCTAACACTAAAACACACATTACATTCTGATAAAAGGAGGATAAAATAATATGAATAATATCTATATTCTTGTGCTTCTGTTATCTTTGGGGGCGGACCAGAGGATATGAAGATATGTAGTCATTCAATTTCAGTTTCCTCTCAAATTCTTCAAATTATACTATCTATTATATTTAAAGTATTTACGTGTCAAAATATTATTATTTTTAAAAATTCTTCACATATAAGAATTTAAATGTCGAACAATAATATATTTGTATCATTTGAAAGTGAAATGTATGCATATTTTTGCTAATATGTTCTCAGGATTACAAGTAAGTATTATTTTCATATATATATTTAATATAAATATAAGAATAAAAAATACTTATTATTCTTCTACAGAGACAACTTACATTATTGAAATTAGTTATGATATTTGTTATAACATTCATGTCGTTTATATTAATATTAAGTTTGCTGTGTAACTCGTGTTTACGTGTAAACAAATATATGAGAACTAAAAATTTTATTAATAATGAAAATAACAAGCATAGCAATCTGATAAGTAATAAATCTATAGCAATGTTTTCAATAGAAGAAATGAAAAATATAAAAGAACAATTGAATTCTAGAAGAAATGAATTAGAACAATATTGTAAAACCATAAGTAGAACAAGTTCGAATTTAGACAATGTATTATCAAATATGATTATTGATACGTAAGCAAATAACAATTTATTTCACATTTAAAACGTTACATTGTAAAATAGTAATTTGTAAATTTATATATTCTATATATTCCACACAGAATACACGGTTTATCCTGGTGCCCTATATACAAAGCAGCAAGTTCCACTTGGATGAAGCATTTTGCTACACTTGGAGGTGTATTAACTGAATCAGCTATGGAATTGATTCGTAGGAATATTTTACAAATTAATACAATTGTTAGAAAAGCATTTCCACGTGATCGAGATGTTAAAAAAGCATATCAGGTATGTAGTACAAGATACAAAATATATTTAATTATTTATATAACAATTTCTATTTCTATTTAGAAATTAAATACAACAACGAAATTTTTGATAGTGCGCCATCCATTTGAACGTCTTGTTTCTGCATATAGAGATAAATTGGAACACATAGAAGGAAGAGATTATTATTATAAAAGATTTGGACGTCATATTACACACAAATATCATCGATATAGGAAACCGAATGAAACGAAATTAGAACCTACATTTACAGAATTTCTTCGATTTATAGTAGAAGAAAAGTACTTTGATGAACATTGGGCACCGTTTATTGATACTTGTGAACCCTGTTTAATTCCGTACAATTATATTTTAAAATTCGATACTTTTGATAGAGATCAAAAATTTTTAATACAAGAATTAGGATTAAATGAATATCTGTATGAAAAAAATGATTTAAAAAATATAAATCCACGTGGAGTAACAACTACAACTTTAGTTAAAGAATATATACAAAATGTTCCTAGATCATTGCTCGATGAAATTAACAAAGTTTATGAAAATGATTTTAAACTTTTTTCCTATTTACCTATATAATATCTTAAAATATTTAAGAATAACAATAGATATAAAAATGTGATAAATAATTATGTTTGATCATTTTTATTAATACAATTTGAGCAATAATAATCTCTACCATAGACTTAACAGCTTTTATTATTTATTTTTTTTTTTTTTTTGTATTTTTGATTTTTTAGTTGAAATAATTATTTTCTCTTACTTGTCCATAATGGTGTATAACGTAATACTGCCATAATATATAGTTGCAATATTAATTGCGGAGCAGCCCCCATAAATGACTCAAATAAATGCAACATGCATATATCACTTTCCTGTCTGTATACCCAATTTTTATCCTTCATAAATCGTTTGCTCCTTAATGAATGTATTGTGGAATAAAGTAAAATTAAATACCTAGAAAAATCAAATTATTTGCCTTATCAGAAAAGGCATAACAAAATTAATTATAAGAAAACATAAAATAATACCTGTGTAAAACTCCTAAAAATAAAAAGTGCAATAACCAATGTATATTTTTAATAGAACCATCGCTGTGATACCATCTTAAACTAAATATTTGAATAATACCAGCAGGTAAAATTGTAAAACTCAAAGCAAAACATCCCCAAACAAATTGGCCTTGTAGAAAATATTTCATAAACACAATACTATCTATAACAAAAATATTTTATAGTAATATTTGTTTATATATATATATATTAAAGTTATATGTTATATGTTAGAAATACGATTCTTATTAAAAAAAAAAAAAAAAAAAAATACCTAATAATCCAATTAGTTTTTAAATTCATATTTATAAGATCTAGAGAAAATCAAAATGAATTTAAGAAAAATTTTTCAATAAAACTTACAATCTTTATACATTTTATATTGAAATCAATAAGAAAGAAAGAAAGAAAGAAAGAAAAAAAGAAAGAAAAAAAATGCTTAAAAATCATCATAGATAATTTTAAAATGTGAATTTTATATCATTATGATTGTAATAACATTATTAAAATATATACAAATATAATACATATTGTATATTTATAATATATATTGTATGTATGCATATATACATAAATATATACATACATATACGTATATGTATGTAGAAATTGAAGAAGTTATGATATTCTACTTTACATACAAAATATATTAAACATACATCAATTTGCCAATGATCCTTTACACTTATTAAAACATGTTCTTTAATAAATTTTATTATTTTCCATAGAAAGAATTTCTTTTTCAGGAATATCTATATAGTATATACACTTTTATTCTTTGTTCACCTGTTGCTATATCGATGAAAAAAAAACTGACAGAAGTCAAGTAGTAAAACAAGTCTAACAATCTAAATTGATAACATTCTATTTCTCTGTGTAATGTTATTGCTGATGCATTTTTTTTCACAGTTTCATAGCACGAAACATTATCATGTTTTAACTCTGCCGCCGCCATCTTCCCGGCCATTCTTGATTTAATTTCACGCAAATGAAAGAACGCGTTCCGAAATCAGCTATATACTTTCCACTTTTTTCTTTGTTTGGAATTTTTTAAGTTTTTATTAGACATGATATATTTTATGTTAGTAAATTTCTTTCCAAGTATGTTATGAAACTATTCTTTCTAAAAAGAGAATTAAATTTGTATAATTGATTTCATTCATCAGAAAAGAAAATCATAAACATATACACATGTATAAATTTTATATATACACAAGCTTACATGATATACACGCAAGCGCATTATATAGTTGCGATTTTCAACATGTCCGTAAAATAAAATATGGCGAGCATTTGATGACTAGACGTATACATACGATCTGGTGCTTGTTGTTCTTTGCTGACATTGAAATAAACATATTTCTGAGAATATGCTTATAGTTTAATTTTCAACGTAAATTATATTACAATATAAATTAAGAAAAGAGTAATAGTTTTTGTAGATATTAACCTTATAGAGGAAAAAGAATTTAACTTTACCTAGAAGTAAATTAAAATTCTGAATAGAATTGGCGATACCATTAATTCTGATATTACATTAAATATTGTCAAGTATGCAAAGATAAATGAGAGAATATTGACAATATTTTTCTATTATTAAGAAATGATACTTTACTGCAAAATATTTATGTTTAAAGAAGAATCTTGTGAATAATTAGGTAAAATTATCATTATCATCTTTCCTATAATGTAAGTAGTTAAAAATATTATATTAAAAGTTGTAGTAAAATATATATTAATATTTGTTTTTAAATTTATAATATTAATTTAAATACAAAGGTAACAATATTATAACTTATATTATTCTTTTTTCCTTTTTTTCAAAAAAGAATAAATAGGAATGTTATGCTATTAAAAAGAAACCGAAGCATCATGTATAGTTTTGAAGGAGATTATAGACGTAAACCACAACAAAATTTAGCAGGTGCAAGTAGAAGAGATGAGAAATCAGTTTTATTACAGCATGCTCAATTAGAACGTTTAAAACGAGAACAACAACGTAAAAAACATAATGCAGCATTAAAAATTCAGGCACTTGTGCGTGGTTTTATAATAAGAAAGAATACAAAAATAATTAAAAGAACAGAATTTGATGAAGAGCAACAAATAAATGGTCGAAGAAATTTAAATCTAGATGAGTTAACAATATATTTCCAAAAATTATTGTTTTTTTATAATCATACTTTGGATGCTAACAGATTAATATGGATACTTCAACATTTTTTGAAACATCAGCAAGAAATTAAACAGAAATGTGTAAATTGTTCAGATTGGTTATGGAGGTTAAGGTAAATTCTAAATAAAAAAAAAAAAAAAAAAAAACTAATATAATAAATATCATTCAATATTTGATAATATAAATAAGATAATATTATATCTACAGATGGATTCTTCGAATGTGCATGCAACATAATTCAGAAGCTTTAATGAATGGAGCTTATTCATTGGCTATACCATTGAGAGTGATAGAAACATTTACAAGTCGTGAAGATACAGAAAAAGTTTTACACGAAAATAGTTATAAATATTTAAGAAACATTTTCATTTATTTGATAAAGCATAAATATTTTGATCAATTAAGAAAATTAATAGATAATAAAGTTCCATCTATGTTGGAACCTACTTCTGTTCCTCCAACTCCAATTTCAAAATGTTTAGTAGATATGATTAAACGACCGTTAGATTTAATTTCTTTTATAGAACAGGAAGATAATTTTTCTATGCTTGTTTTACAAGAACTTTGTAGAAGTATATTATCTCCAAAAATGTCTGATGCAGTAAGAATGTTTATCATTCCATCATTATCTGAATTTATAGAATTTCCCTATATTCAATTGATTAAATGTATTAATAGAATTGAAATTGAACCAACGATAAGTTTACTTTATTCTATTTTATCTTTAGAATCAAATCGACTTTGTAAGTATATAAAATAATTTAATAATGCAAATAGATAAGAACATTAATAACAGATTTTTCTTTTTATTACAGCTGCATGTAAATCTAAAGATATTCTTATTAATTATTTACAAGTTCTTGCATCTATGAGTTCAACTATAATACCATTAATTGTTGAAGAAAATATAGAGCAAGCGAATGATTCAGATTCAGAATCAACCACAAGTATGATTGATCAAGATCAAGCCGATATTCTACATGAATGTTCAGAAATGTTGAATGAAGAGCACCGTGTTCAAGGAATACTCTTAGCGGTAGATCGAAGTAAAGATCCAGCTGTATTACAACCATTGTGCCAACTCTGTCATCATCTATTGATCACTAACAAATTAGCCATTCATAAATATAAATTGTTATATATGCTCGCTTTTAAACCAATATTTTTAAAAAATTTATGGGCCGCTCTATTATCAGCTTGTCAAATGTCATTATTTGGCGGGGCAACGCCTCTCTTGCAAATCATATCACGGGGTATTGGTCTTTCTGCCGAAGATACAAAAAAAATAATTCCACTATTAGCTGTATTTTGTTCACTATTTAGTCTACTTATTGCAACATTACATGATACAGAATTTTTTATTCAAGATCAATCATTAGATATTAACGGACAACAAGCAATGCCGTTTACAACTTCGGAATTAGTATTGTTATCAAATCATTTAAAAGGCGTTTGTTTAGGTTTGGTCGAGCTTGCATTTCCCGATAGCCGACCAACTGTACGAGACGATTATAAAAGAGCTGTCCTCGGTCCAACATGTTCCTTACGAAATCAACAAGATACACAAATGTGGACTCATTTATTCAAAGTAACAGTTGGGTTATTACGTCAGTTGCATATGCGAGACTTGAGACGACAATTTTGTCCAGAAAGTCATTGGATAGCTTCGAATATTGTAATACCAATTGATAAACCTCAAGATTTCACATTTCGTAGACGTAGATTGAGAGGATACATTCCTTTTCAAGGATTACGAGTATTTACTCGTGAAGAACTAGAAGAAGGGCCACCTCTTACTGCAAAAGAAGTTCGAACGTTAACGCTTCTTCGCGAAATACCATTTGTTGTACCATTTAATAACAGAGTAGTGGCGTTTCAATCATTAATTTATCGAGATAAAACGGAACAACAAGGTGAATTAACACACTTCATGCAAGGACCATCGATACAAATATCGGTAAGAAGAAACTATCTCTACGAGGATGCATTTGAAAAATTATCACCGGAAAATGAGCCAGAATTGCGATTAAAAATGCGCGTACAACTTTTTAATACAGCTGGTTTAGAAGAAGCTGGTGTAGACGGTGGTGGTCTTTTTAGAGAATTTTTATCGGAATTACTAAAAACAAGCTTCGATCCTAATAGAGGCTTTTTTAGGCTTACCAAGGATAATATGCTATATCCAAATCCTACAGTACAATTATTGGTTGATGATTTTCCGAAACATTATTATTTTATCGGTAGAATTCTTGGAAAAGCTTTATACGAGAATTTATTAGTAGAACTTCCATTTGCAGAATTTTTTCTATCAAAAATCGTTGGTCGTCAATCAGATGTTGATGTTCATCATTTAGCTTCTTTAGATCCAATTATGTATAGAAATCTCTTGTATCTAAAAAGTTACAAAGGTGATGTTGCGGATCTTGGTCTAGATTTTACCGTATTATCAGATGAATTAGGTGAAAGACGAATCGATGAATTGAAACCAGGTGGTGCCAATATTCCTGTTACAAATCATAATCGTATCGAATACATTCATTTGATGGCCGATTATAAGTTAAATAAACAGATTCGAGCGCAATGTTACGCATTTAAACAAGGTATAGGTAGTGTAATACCCCTGGATTGGCTTCAAATGTTTAACAATAAGGAACTACAAGTTTTGATATCAGGTGCACAAATTCCAGTTGATGTAAACGATTTAAAATTACACACTAACTATACAGGAGGATATGCACCTGATCATCCGACAATCACTGCATTTTGGAAAGTTGTTAATGAATTTAATGACCAGCAAAAAGGACAATTACTCAAATTTGTTACGAGCTGCAGTCGACCGCCCTTACTTGGATTTAAGGTACAAAGCGGTTATTCTTTTTTGATGACTAATTAATAGGTACGTGTAAATATGTATAAATAGATAGATATATATATATATATATATTAATTTTTTTTAGGAACTCGATCCACCTTTTTGCATTCAACATGCTGGCAGTGTTGATCGCCTGCCAACTTCAAGTACCTGTATGAATTTGTTAAAACTACCAGAATTTCCAGATGAGAAAACTCTACGCGAGAAACTTTTATATGCAATACAAGCTGGTGCAGGTTTTGAATTGAGTTAAAGCTCAAATTTATCTTAATTTTAAGTGAATTCTTTTAATTAAATCGGTGATACCTGATTGTATATAAATTTTAAGCGTAATTAACATTAAGTAAACATATTCGAAAACAAAATGCAAAAATGAAAATCGTAATTCATTATTGGATAAGTGATTTGATTCAATGTTAATTATGTGCTTTAAATGTCTGTGTTTGTCTATAACAGCGAATAAGGACAAGATAGATTATGTTTCAATTATTTTTTTTGTCTGCTACAGGGCAGAATAATTTAATAAATCTTCGTCGGATCAGGCAATAAATAATATTGTCAGGAGGGGCCAATTAATTAGTCTATTAAGGAGATAATTATCAATACAATGAACAAATGTGTATTGTTTGTAAAAATACGTCAGTTTATCCTATTCGATACGTATCAACTTATACGCATACATATGTGTATATATACCCAACGTATTTATGTACTTTATTTGTTGTTATTTTTCTGCCCTTGGCCTATAACTGTAAATTGTGTATATTTTTTGTATTACATCATAACTATCAACAACTATGATATCAAATGTACATGAGAGAATAGAACATATATGTGTATATATATATATATATACACGTGTGTGTGTGTATGTATGTGTGTGTGTGTATAATATATATGTGTATACGTATATATGTATTTATGACTTCGTTAATTTAGTGTAAATAATAAAAAAAAATCCTGACATGTCATATACATTTATTACAGATATGTTATTTAAATTTGAATAGTGTTTTAATAAAGGTTGTACACAAATAGAATATTTTGTTGTGAAAAGTTAAAAGTTAAAAAGATAAAATTTAATTTATAATTTGTCCAAATAGTAATTTATTACAATACGTTAC